TAATGCTGGACTTGAATTACACAGACTTTTCAGTACAAACCAAAGGAAAGGGAGGGAGGAGGTAGTGTCTTCTAAGTCTGAAACATTCATGCATTTCTAGGTCTGACACATAAATTACGACATTTTAAGTTGCAAAAAATTAAAAGGGATATCACAGTATACGTTATAAACACAGCAAAAGAAGAATTTCATATAATCCATGTTTCGTCAACAGGAATGTTTCCAAGGATCATCACGTAAACCTGCGAGACTCTGAAGCCGTATTACCAGGAAGATGGACATTGGCTATTTAGGTTTTGTGACATTAACAGAAACCATTGCTACGTTTAGGAACAAACTAAATGACATGCATAAATATAAAAGTGAATCTTAATTTTTTAAATGATCATGAAATGAAAGTGAACAATTGGAACAAAGTAACAAAAATAGTAATTACAAGGATGGAAGCAACTGATGTGATGGAAGCCGGGAGGAATCTGGGCATACAAGTCACAGCAATCAACCAAGTGGAGCTGCCATCTTAAAAGAAATCTAGTATTTTAACAGATTAATGCGAATGACCTAAGGGCTACGATATATTAGTATCTGAAGTTCCACATTTTAAGACAGGCCAAAATGAAAGGCACAGTCATTCTCATCTTGCTTCTGTATCCTACAATACAGCATATAAAAATATAGTGGCTTTGGGGCACCTGGGCGGCTCAGTCGGTTAGGTGTCCGACTTCGGCTCAGGTCATGATCTTACGGCTCGCATCTTCGAGCCCCGCATCGGGCTCTGTGCAGACAGCTCAGAGCCTGGGGCCTGCTTCGAATTCTGGGTCTCCCTCTCTCTCTGCTCCTTCCCCGCTCATGCTCTCTCTCTCTCTCCTTCAAAAAATAGATAAAAACATTAAAAAAAAATTTTTTTTAATATAGTGGCTCCATGAAGCTCTGTAAAGAAAGAGTCTGGAACCATTTAGTAGCTAGAAAACTCCAGAGCCAGGTGTAAACCCGAATTTAAAAGATGTGCCACTGGGCAATTATCTTTTAACCTTAAAATTCCATAGTGAATGAGAGATACTTGAACTCCTCAAGCAATATATGTAACCAGAAATCAGATAACTTCATATCAGTGTTTCAGGGAAGTCACAATACTAAGGCAACAAAGCAAGGAGTCATGATTTTTCCAGAAGGAAAATGGCAGCTCTTAAAATCTTGAAAGATGGACGTATTAAGAAGTAGGCCCACTAGGAAAAAAAATGGAACTTTAGATTACTTAATTGGAAAAGTCAAGGATGGGAATGTGATAAGCTCTGATATGTGAAACACTATTGTGAACCAAGGCTTCCTCGCCACCAGTCAGCATAGAATGTGAGGATTGCCTTGACATTTCATAAAGTTATCAAAACATCTGCAGAATCCACTGAACTTTTGAAATGTACTAGAATGTTGTCCTTTTACATGATAAACCGCAAGAGCAACTGAGAGATTATCTTCTAATTACAAAATGAAGTACAGAATAAGAAAATGCTAAGAGTATGGAATAGGCCCACCAGTATAGCTCCATATTTGAACGATTTCCCTTACCCTTAATTAAGGATACCTAAACTTTGGTTTGCTACCAGCTCAGTAAATTAACGATAAAGGCACTAATTCTTTCTACTTAAAGTTTTAAGCTTTAGAGATTAAGATGTTAAAATTTAAAAATTGTTTTCCTCGTGCATACACATAATAGGATGCTTTGGGATCTAAAAAGTTTTTTGCTTCAGTTCTAAAAATATCACTAATCAACAAGGTAATCGAACTTCAGACAGGAAGTAGTGGGCATTTTCAATCCTAACACTAATACTGAAATTGTTGTCCAATGATCATCAGGAGTGAGGGTTCCAAAAGAGCCTAAGACAACTCGGTAAGTGGGAATTATAGTTCTTGAAGAAAAACCCTAATTAGATATAAAGGAATCTTATAAAATTCTCTTTTCTGACCGGATAAGAATAAAGAAATCACTACCTACTGGTAAGACAAAAATAAGGTGACAGCTAAGTATTACTATAAACTGAGAAGTCATCTTGCTTTTCCTTTTGGAATACATGACTTACTTAAGATGAATAATCTTTATGTTAAAAACTAGTAAGCTTTTAAGAGACAATAACTTTCTAGATTTATGGTAACTGCTCTGTAATGTCACTTTAAAATTACATATTTAAATAAATGCACTTAGAATATATATAGTTCTTTAAAGAACATTAGCATTTTTATAGCAAGATCAATGGCAATGAAACTGTATCTTCGTTAGGAAACAGAAATTATCAATATACAATTAAAGCAATAATTAAAAATCCTAAATGATTTTGTTATCGAGAGAGTCGATTTAATGATTTTTCAGAGAATTAACAATCACTATTACTTCCATACCAAAAGAGGTACAATTCAGGGGAAAGATAAATCTGTGAGGACTTTGAAAATTTACCCTATCCACTTCTCATTTTTAAGATGTGATGATTTGTGGGTCTAATAAAGATTATGATTCTGAGAAATATGCAAAAAAATCCATGTTAAATAACAACAGTGGACCTTGAAGGCATGAGCTTTTGTCACTTTATTGTTAACCAATGAATGTTATCCAAAATTATAGATGTAACTGTAGCTTAAATGTACAACAAAGAATTATGCTAATGGTAAAACCTGCTGGAATTTACCAAATACTCATTAATATATTTTTACATTGCTATATGAGCATGTGCTCTCAACTGCTAATAATAAAAGTCATAACTGGCTTAATCACTATGAAAACTCATATTGCAAATAGTTGTTTCCTGTTTAGAAAAATTCACACAGCTTTAAAAATGGATTAAATCCATTTTAATCCTAATCTACAAATAGATTATAAACAGCAAATATAACTGGTAATTTTTCAACACTGATAGCAAACTGATGCAGCAGTGACAGTGCACACAATTCAAAATGTAGAAAATTAATGAAAATCCAGTGGAAATCCAAGTTTTCACCTATTATGGCAACTGCTTTGCTACTTTGGAAAAGCGAGCACGCACGCCTTGGAGCATGACGAGTTCACCACCTATCCCGCGAATGTGCTCGAGCAGAAACACTCTCTTCCACAGTGTTTTGAAGCATGTGCACAACCACCACACAACAGTCACGTCAAGGTTATCAACCAGTTATCTCTTGTCCTACAAAGTCCAAAAATATATTAAATGCAACCTTTCCTTCTCATATGTCTGCCCAGATTAATCCTTTTCAAGTCAGCAAAATCAAAAAAAGCACAAGAGATATTTTCAGACACAACTTGAATCTACTGTGCATGAAAAATGCTTAACAAAATGGCAATTTTAATAGATAAATGTAAATTTGAGTGCATAATACCACATGAAAAGTAGCTGAACCACACAGAGAAAACAAGGCTTTCCTTATCTCCAAGTCTAGATGTTTCACAATAAAGAAAATGTTAGAACATGTGAATATTAGAACATCTTTCAAACTGGAAAGATTTCTTCTTCTTAAGACATAATTGAACTTAATATAACCTAAAATTATAATTTCTAAAATAGGATTAACAAACCAAATTTAAGTATTTTTAGTTAGAGAACAAAAAAATAAGCACAATGATTTAGAAACCAAATCTGCTAAAATGATTATGTAACAATTATATCAAGAAATGAAGGTACAGACATTCATATGCTACAAGGGAAAATCTCTCTCTCTCTCTTGCGCGCGCGCGCACACACACACGCACACACACACACTCCCTCAGACACAGAACACCCCTCCAAGAAGATAGTATACCATCAAGAGCTTACAATTTTCATATAAATCAGAGTCCCACAATTCAGCTCAATGACAAGGCAGTTAAAAAAAAAGTAGCACTCTAAGATATTCTGAAGGAAAAGGAAATCTCAGAAATACTCCTTCATGACTGGAAGTACTGGTGCGTGTTGGAGAACACACTTACATACTCCGCTGTGTTGGAGCGACCAGTCATCACAGGTGTAGTAGTGAGGTAGTATTACTGTCCCCTCTCTGGGACTGATGTTTTCATACGCTGCTCTTCCAGAAAGGTCCACGGCTTTTTGAATGAGTATAATCAATGATCAAAAAACGTATTTTTTTAATTAAACATCTGTTTGTCTAAATCAATCTTTGAAAGAACAGACTTTTTAAATCTTTTGGAGACAATTAGTATTTGCAGGTAGTGTTTCATCAATAAACTCTCCTAGGGTACTACCACCTGCTGTCTACACCTTTGTCAACGGTAGGCAAAGAAAACCAAAGAATGGCAGGTGATGAAACACCAATCCATTCAGCTGTCAAAGATGACTAATTAAGCAAATACTGAATATCCAATAATGTAAGCAAACTGGGATTTAAAAAACATTAACCACCAGCTGCATACTACACTATTAGATATTCTAATCCTTTTCATGATTCATAGCTGTCTTCTACACAATTATCAAAGACTGTCCACCCTGTCGCCTACCTTCATTTTGACCACTGCCAATGATCTATACGATGGCAGAATTATGGCTAGCGGCATGGCAAGATATGATAAGGGCACGCCGAGGAAATCTGAGACAGAATGTGGAAATACACACAGGTCAACTATGGAAGGGTCCAAAGAAAACAGAGTGCTCTACCCAAACACTCATTAAGTCACCATCATCCTTTGAAATGTACAAAGTGCTTACATCACACATACACATTTGTCAGACATGATAATTAGTGTTAATCTTCAACAGAAAAAAAAAATGGAAACTGAAAATGTGAAAGGAGGCGATGGAACACTGTTCTCCATTCCCTGGCCCAAAAGGAAAAGAAAATCAAGCATGACATCACACTGCCTTAATGCAGAAGGGCTCCCTCAAGCATGTCTTTTAGCCACCACAGTCAACTGGTGTAAGTGCTTTGGCAAGGTGGGGTGCATTCCATCACATCTGCAAAGGCCTGCTTTTCTCTGTTGGTGGTTCAGCTTATGAAGAACATGTATGCAAAATAACAGCTCTCACATTGCTTCAAACTCATCGATGCGCTGCTTTGTGTTGCCCTGTCGGATCTGCCGAAGAGTCTTGTACTTATCACGGCCTGCTTTCACGTTCTCAGCGTGAAGAACATCATTTTGTGTTTTCTTGGTTTCATCTCTGGCCTGGGCTAATTCTGAACTCAGCGCCTATGTTTAAAAAATAAAAACAATGACTATTATATTCTTCTTAAAGTTTAAAAAGCTTATAAAAAAGGTTTAAAGACAAAAATACACATACAACAAATTTGACGTTTTTGCATATTAGAATTTACATTGTCACATAATTTCTTTAAAGTGTATAAATTTAAAAAATAAAAATAAAAAATATGAAGTATGTAAATTTGCTCTATTTTGGTGATAGTAGAGGTAGTAGTTAGGGAGAAATACCCACTGTCTTTCACTTCTACACTCAACAACCACAACGCCTCTGTAGATTATTCCAAAATCCCTTAACTTTCTCTATACAATAGAGATTTTGAAATCACTTACAAAAGGTTCAATGAAGACAGTATAGGATGTTATTTTAAGATCTAAAATCTAGGCCATTAGAGAACCTTTCTCCAAAGTCTTAATATATTTATTGCAATTATCACTTCATTTTCTTTTCTTTATTAATATTTAAAGATTTCGCCAATTAAAAAAATCAGAGAACTTATCGGGGAAAAAAGGTCAAATCAAATTAAGATTTCCTACTCTGATCTAATTATGGGCTTTTAATAAACCTACCTTTTGGTACTATGAAACCTGAACAAATAGTTCAGAGTATGTAGTGTCATAAAGGTAATCTATTAAATTATATGGCTTTTAATGTATACTTTACTGGCGAAAAACTAAATTCATCTGTCTTTTAAAGATAACATCAAAACACTTTCTACCTTTTAGCGTGGAGTCAAGCTGTAATTAAAAAATAACTTACCACTTAAGGCCTAATTACCCAAAACTAACACATTTGCTACAATGGAAGAAATCAAGCACTGTGACTACAGGCCAAGCAATCACAAACCAATCACAAGGCCAGCTAAGGGCAAAAGCTTAAAAAAAACTGGAATGTTCCTTTTTAGTAAGTTTGTATTTTATTAAATGGGGAAAATGCTCACTGTACTATACATGTACACACAACTGTCAATTTGAAATACCTGGAGTTGTTTTTTAACACGCTCATTTTTTTGTGTTTCCGTTATACGTTCCTCCTCACTCCTGTGGTTCAGCACCCCGTCGTTTGATAATTCTGCGCTAGCCTCTGCATTATTCTCATCATGCTCATCGTGTTCATTTTCTGTTGGAGGAATGACTGGCGGTGGTGGAGGTGGAGGGGGTGCAGACATCACAGTTTTTAACTCTTCTTTGGTCTTTTCCAAGTCTTCCTGGGCTGCAAAAGCCTGAACGTTAACAATAAATTTATCAGCAACTTCATTTGAAAACTGGTAATGAAGAGAATCAAGTTATCTCTCTTTCCTAACAGAAGCTATCTTTCAGGGTAACGAAAATAAGCCCTACGGATGAAAGCTCTACTTTTATAAAGGAATGCCAGGGGGCAAGAATGCCCTAGTTTTTATGTAAAAACTAATAAAATTGTTAACTCTAGCAAGCATAATCAAATATTGCTAAACCTGTTATGCAAATATTTGATGAGAAATGGCATCAGCCTAATGCCAAAGAATGTCACATCCAAGAGATCACATTTTAGCCACAAGAGGGAGCACATAACCCAGTCAAAGGAGGAATCAGCTTGTTTAGTGACCAGTTAATATCACTGATGGTAGGTTAACTAGATATTAAGTGTCTTCTGAGATGACACAACAGGAAGTATCCAACATCAGCAATTATTTGGGTGGTAAACCGTGTTGCTGTGCCTGGAAAAATCCTGCTTCACACTGTTGTCCTGGTGTAATTACTAATAAGAATACCTTTCACTCTAAAAAATGTTCTAATTTGGGTGATAAATTATATGGAGGTCTCTCACCTATGAGGCACTGTAGCCAAAAACTTCTTAGGATGAATCCTTCAAGATTTCAGGTCTATCTTCCAGTATACAGGAAATATTGATGATAAAAGGACAAATGAATGGCACCATAAGGACACACAAAGGAGAAGGGACAATCTGCAGGTCCTTCCAATAATTCAGTATCAAACAAAGGAATGTCCTACTTTAAAAGAGACTGAGAGCAAACCTATGTAATGCAAGGTGCTAATTTGGACACTGGCCTGGCAAATCAGCTATACAAGATTTTGGGTCAACTGTGAATATAGAAATATATTCTATATATAAACCCAGAAATAAACCCATACAAATATGATCAATTAATTTGGAGCAAAGCAGCCAAGAACATCCAATGGGGAAAGGACAGTCCCCTTCAATAACTGGTACTGGGAAAACTGGAGAGATACACACAAAAGAATGAAACTAGGCCACTATCTTATAGCATACACAGTATCTACTCAAAATGATCACAAACTTGAAAATAAGACCTAAAACCATCAAACTCCCAGAAGAAAACACAGGGAGCAACTCCTTGACAATGGTCTTGGCAGTGATTTTTTGGATTTGACAGCAAAAGCAAAAAATAAACAAGTGGCACTACATCAAATTAAAAAGCTTCTATACAGCAAAAGAAACCATCAAAAAAAAAATGAAACGGCAACCTACTGAATGGGAGAAAATACTGACAAATCTTATATCCAAAATATATAAAGAATTCATACAACTCGGTAGTTATAAAACAATCTGATTACAAACTGGGGAGAGGATCTGAATAGACATTTTTTCCAGAGAAGACATACAGATGGCCAACAAGGTCCATGAAACGGTACTCAACGTCACTAATCGTAACAGAAATGCAAATCGTAACTAACGAGCTATCACCTCACACCACTCAAAATGGCTATTATCGAAAAGGGAAGAAATAGCAAGTGTTGTCAAGGATGTGGAGAAAAGGGATACTGTGTGCACTATTGGTGACTATGTAAGTTGGTGCAGCTATTAGGGAAAACGGTACACAAGTTTGAAGAAGCTTTTCTTCAAAAAATTAAAAATACAACTACCATATGATCCAGCAATTCCACTTGTAGGTATTCATACCCCAAAAACGAAAACACTAACTCAAAAAGATATATATACCACCAGGTTCAGTGCAGCCTTATTTACAATAGCCAGGATACGAAGCAAGCTAAACACCCATCAATGGATGAATGAATGGGTAAGGAAAGTGTTGTGTACACACACACATACGAGTACTATTCAGCCACAAAAAAGAAGAAAATCTTGCTGTATCAACATGGATGGAACTTGAGGGCACTACACTAAGTGAAATAAGTCAGAGAAAGACAAATACCATATGATCTCATTTATATGTGGAATCTAAAAAAAAGGGGCGCCTGGGTGGCGCAGTCGGTTAAGCGTCCGACTTCAGCCAGGTCACGATCTCGCGGTCCGGGAGTTCGAGCCCCGCGTCAGGCTCTGGGCTGATGGCTCGGAGCCTGGAGCCTGTTTCCGATTCTGTGTCTCCCTCTCTCTCTGCCCCTCCCCCGTTCATGCTCTGTCTCTCTCTGTCCCAAAAATAAATAAACGTTGAAAAAAAAATTAAAAAAAAAAAAAAAGAAAAAATAAAAAAGAAAAAATTAAACCAACAAAAAACGAGAACAAATTCCTGGTTACCAAAAATTGGGGGTGATGGGGACGGTGGGGAGTGAGCAAATGGGAGAAGAGGATTAAAAAGTACAAACTCCCAGCTGTAAGATAAAGAAGCCATGGGGATATAACGTACAAACAGCATGGACACTACAGTTAATAATACTGTACATTTGAAAGTTGCTAAGAGTAAACCTTAAAAGTTTTCAGGACAAGAAGAAAAACTCTAACTATGTATGGCAACAGGTGTTAGCTCATTTCACCATACACACAGTATCAAATAATGAAGTTTACACCTGAAACTAATATAATGTTATATGTCTATTATATCTGAATTAAAAAATTTTTATGAATACAGTCTAATACAGATGAGATGAAAAGTGACTAAAATGGAAGCGTGTGTGCAGGACGACCTCACTCTAAACATATAAATGCGTATGTATGCACACACGCAAACAGGAAAAGGTCGTGGAAAGATCTGCACTAAGGTGTTAAAAGAGTGATCCTGGTTTGTGGGAATATAGTTTTTCTTTTGTGTCATTTCCTCGTATCTATAGTTCAGAGGATTTACCTCTGTGGTGTCATTTTCATTTATTTACGTTTTTATTTATTTTTATTTATATACTATTAAAGCTTATTTATTTTGAGAGAAACAGAGACAGTGTGAGTTGGGAAGGTGTAGACAGAGAGAGAGAATCCCACGCAAGCTCTGAGCGGCCAGCACAGAGGCCGATTTGGGGCTCAAACTCATGAAACTGAGATCACAACCTAAGCCGAAGTCTGAGGCGTAACCGACTGAGTCACCCAGGTGCTCGTGCTCCTTTATTTATTTTAAATGTTTATTTCTGAGAGACAAAGACACACACACACACACACACACACACACACACACACACACACACAGAGTGCGCATGCGAGAGAGTGCACAAGCGGGTGAGGGGCAGAGAGTGAATGAGACAGAGGATCCAAAGTGAGCTCCTTACTGGCGGAGCGCACAGCCCAATGCGGAGCTCGAACTCACAAACTATGAGATCATGACCTGAGCTGAAGTCAGACACTTCACTGACTGAGCCACTGAGGCACCCCTTTTTTTGTTGTTGTTTTTATTGTTTTTTCTTTCTTTTTTTAAAGAAGTTTATGTGTCTCTGTGAAATTCTAATAAAAGAGTGTAACAGGTTAACAGAGTTCTATCATATTTGAGAGTTATATATACACACATACACATAATTTTCAATGTATCAAAATTTCCCTGTGAAATTTAAACTGCTACCAAGAAAATTTAAGGGTGAAACATTCACACATACTGTAGAAGGCCTTTGGGTAAAAAAATTATTATGGTTGCATTTAAAAGTTAACCTTTATTTAAAGTGTGGAGTAAGCTCTGATTTTTCACTTGTGCACTATTTCAACAGGGGCTTCATCTACTTAGGAACTTATACTAGGTACCTCAGAATGTATCATCGTCGCTGCATCCTTCTAATTCCACTTTATATCCACGATTTGGTTGCCATGCCCTTTTGAGTCTACCCCAAGATGTCTCTCAGCAACCTCTGCTCCTCTTGACTCTCAAGTAATCCCACCTCTTGGACCAAGCCAGCTTCCACACCGACGGCCACATTATTTTTATAACACCATACTTAATCATGTTATAATCCTGTTTTGAGATCTTCAAAGTCAAATGTCTACAGACACTCCTTATCATCTTGCCATTGATTTAAAATTAAAGCCCTTCACAACTTAATTTCCTCTCTAATGTCCCAACCACATCTCACAAGATTTCTGAACCGATGCTCGAAAGCACTGCTTGCTTACTGGTTGCCCCTCAAATCCAGCATGTGCTTGCAAACTTCCTGTACTCATTCAGCCCCTCTGTCTACAGTCTCTAACCACTCCCAAAATTGAAGTTCACGATGCAACTTAAACTTCTAAGGGTTTTCCCCAAGCCTGCCTCATGCCCACAGAAATTAATCACCTCTTCTGTGCTCCCAAATACTGAGCTTGCGTCGACAGATCAGTAATTAGTACGATACAAACACATTCATACACACAGGTATCTTTCTCCCTCTCAATCGTGACAGTATTCATCTCTATAAACTCAGCATACTACTGGGTACAAAGTAGATATTCAACAAATGATACTGAGGGAAGAAACCAACGATCACCTTGTGCTGCCACTCAGTAGCTTCCTCTTCCTTTTTCTTCTTGGCTTCTTCTAGAAGTGCAATCTTGGCAGTGAATTCAGCAAGTTCTGCTGCCTAAAATACACAATATAATTACCAATACTAAAAATATGTATTTTCAAAAATTTATATTATGTCAACAAAGCTTTAATGTACATGCTTGGGCTATATTATGTTCCTCTTTGATGGTCTTTCATTAAAAAAAATTTTTTTTTAAAAAGGTATATTTAAGATCATAAATATCTTATTTGTAGTATAATGAACTAGTAAGGAGATAAAGTAAAAATGGTTTCATTATAGGCAAGTAGTTATTCGTCTTCCAGTAGCAGGAACTCAGGATGTGTAACTCCAGAGCTATTTGTAAACTTTGATCAATAAAGTATTTGCTAAAGCCTACAAAGAAAAAATTTATATAATGCTTTATAGTTTGAAGAGCATGCTATCAAATAATGTCATGTGATTCCCCAACAATCCTATCTGGTGACATTATTTCTGTTTTCAAAGGGCAGAATCTGAGGCTCAGAAAGACCCATAGGACACATAGCAAGTGAATGTCTGAACCAATATTTAATTCCAGGATCTTTTAAATGTCATGCCCACTTAATATATCTAAGTCCACTACACAAACCAACATGAAGACCCCAATAAGTACAGCCCACGGTTATAAGAAGGAATCAGAACGTACTGTCAATTTATCTAAAGTAAAACACACCAGTGGTTTAGGCAAAGTTTAAGTGAATCAGAAATCTTTTGTTAGCAACAGGCTCCATTTGTCTTTTATGGTCTTATTTTTAGTTTTTGTTTATTTGTTTTAAGGCAGAAATTAAATGTTTAGATTTATTTCCAAACTTTGCTATTAGACACTACTTATATCTTTGGTGTGCTTTCCAGAAGATCTCTAATGTGCTTAGTTGTACAAGGTTTGCTCTATGCTTCTGTCTAAATTTTCCTTTTTCTCTGAGAAAGAGCTGAGGTTCCTGACCAGTTGCTCCTGATTCTTCATCTGGTCGGCAGCTTGTTTTGCTATAGCGGACTTGGCCTCTTCAGCAGCTCGGCGCTCCTTTTCAAGCCTTTCTGCTTCTTCCTTCGCTCGTTTTCGCTCCTGGTCCAGTTCTAGAGCTTTTCGAGTCTGTTCTTCTAGTTCTGCCAAATTGTACACCCCCCACGAAACAATGGTTAATTCTAATTATTCGCATTATCAAAAGAAGCCGAAATGATGGCAAAGAATCTAATTTGTACAGTTTCTAAAAATTAGCACATCTGGAAATGAACATACGTACTTTGATTTTAACTTGGCAAAAGCCTAGTAATTTTCTTTAGTACTCACAATTAAAAAACCTGAAGAAATGAAAACTTTTTGCAATTCAAGTTATGTCATAAAGCTAGAAGCACATCTTTATTTTTAAAAAACTAGTATCTCCAAAGTTTTGATCTAAATATTTTGCCATCTGTTTCAAAACTCTATAAAACAATACACTTTCAAACTTACATAACTTTCTGCTTATCTAAACTAAGTATCAGATAAGTAAACCCAAAACATTAAGACTGAAAACAGTAATTACTGATTTAAAATAGGAATTCTGATGTGAATTATATGAATTACTAAAAATTCTCAGTAACTGGTACATACCCATTTTTTGGGCATGAGACAAAATAATATTTGGAGATAAATAACATGAATTTTAATCTTTAAGTGTACAGACCATAAAGTTAATTCTCTTTTATTTGATGTGTTGAATGAAAAAGGAAAATACTACCAGCACAAATCCAAAAATTTTTAAGTGTAAAAGTACTAATTTTAAATATTATTCTAACAACTCTTGTTTAATAACAAGGACATGTTGTGACAGAAGACAAATGAATGCCATCTATTAAGAGACCGCAATGTCCTACAAAGAATGTCTCCCTTTCTGTGTATTTTAGAAAGGAAGAAAAACTAAAAATCTAGGTCATGAGGTCTGAAAGCTAACTGTTACATACACACTTCTCCTTACCATTGTTAACTTTTTTGGTCTTGGTCGGAATTAATTTAGGTAATCGCAGTTAAGACTTGGGAAGTTTTGAGATGGTCAACAAGAAAAATAACTCTGGTCAAAGTTTAAATTTTCAATAAAATAATGTAAAAATTGTATGCAGCTATTATAAAGATAAAATGTATACAAAACTGGGTGTTACCACAACTAAATTCTAGGATTATTCATTTTAGGATCTGCCTTTTAAAACTGGGACATCAAACTAACCTATCAAACTTTTCTTAAAATCATTCTTTCCATCTAGTTGACTAATATTTATATAAAATAAAGCCCACAAAACTCACGGCTTTTTCATCTAAACAAGCAAACAAATAACTACAGAAAAATTCCTTCTGTACTATGAAAGAAGAAAGAAAATTAAGTGCAGGTTGTAAAGTTAAATTTTAAAATAAATATTCCCCAATATTCATTATTTTCTATCAGTTTTTTGCAATAAAGATTTTGAAGAACGGTAGACAAGGCAATGGTTGTTTTGTGATCTATTAAGAATTATACAAAAGTGTAAATTATTTTAAATGTTGAAAGTAAGTAGAAAGCTTCAAATCTACTTTCTTTTAGAAAGGAAGGTTTTTTTTTTTTTTTTTTTAAATAAATTTTAGGAAGGGCAAGAGCAGGAACAGGGAAGAAGGGCAGGGGGGCAGTGGGGGAGAGAGAATCTTAAGCAGGCTTGATGCTCAGCTCGGAGGCCAATGTGGGGATCTCTATCCCATGACCTTGGGATCACGACCTGAGCCAAACTCAAGAGTCAGACACAACCGACTGAGCCACCCAGGCACACCCCTAGAAAGGAAGGTTTTGAAATGCTTTCTTTCTTCCCTCCCCAGTTAAATGAGTTAGAACAGAGATTGGAAAACTATGGCCCACTAACCCAATTTCTTATTTTTATAAATAAAGTTTTACTGGAACCATACCCTCATTCACTAAGGTATACAACACCCTCACATGTTTACATACAGCACAGGACTGCTTTCATTCTGCAAGAGCAGGGCTGATGGTCGCAAAAGAGACTGTGTGACGTGGAAAGCCTGAGGTAGTACTATCTGACCCTTTACAGAAAAGTTTACAAACCCAAAAATTAGGTTATTTCTATTTCTATAAAAGAGACGTGCCTCCAAAACGGTGGGTCCCATTAGGATACCTGTAGAGAAGGATTAGCTCAGAAAGGTAAACAGTATCAATATTTTGCCTCTCTGGTTCATAAACATCTAAAACCTACAATTTTTGAGGTCCGGCATATGGGAAGAGGGTATCAAAGAATATGGCTTGTTTTAGAAGATGAGGGGCGCCTGGGTGGCTCAGTCGGTTAAACGTCCAACTCTCAGTTTTGGCTCAGGTCATGATCTCACGGCTTCATGAGTTCGAGCCCTGCATCAGGCTCTGTGCTGACAACTCAGAGCCTAGAGCCTGCTTCAGATTCTGTGTCTCCCTCTCTCTCTGTCCCTCCCCTACTTGTGCTCTGTTGATCTAAAAATAAATACTGAGAAAAAAATTTAAAAATAAAAGTATATTAATTGAAAACGGCAAGGTGCACCAAGACGTATGCCGTATACTCCATTTTATGTAAGAAAGAAGGAACAAGAATATAGTTTTAAGTATTTGCTTATTTTGTATGCAAAAAAACAAAAACAAAACAAAGAAACAAACAAAACATAGGTATTTAATACTCCCAGTAGAGTGGAACAAAGGTGGAGTGGAATGCAGCAGCCTGAGGCCTGTAGTAATGAACCAGACTTAGCAGATACAGATTTAAACTTTGGGGCCACGAAGGCATCCAAGGTTTGAGAGGCCAAGAGCCTGAGTAGAAGAGTAAGCTCTAAAATCTGCACGCTATTGGGGCACCTGGGTGGCTCAGTTGGTTAAATGTCCTGCTCTTGGCTTCAGCTCAGGTCATGATCTCACAGTTTGTGGGTTCAAACACCACATTGGGCTCTGTACTGGCAGTAGGTGTCCCACTTGGCATCCTCTCCCCTCCCCCCAGCCCCCAGTCTCTCTCAAAAATAAGGAAATAAATAAATAATCATGTTATTTCCCCTCAAGATGTTTGCCAACTCTTAAAAGATACACATATGGGGTATAAAACAAGGAAAAGAAGCAAAAAAAAACAACAACCCAGCTGTAGTAGGCTGAAGAGTGGAGCAAAAAGATCGACACTCTCTTGCAGCCAGGAGTCAAAGGCTGGAGTTCAGGGCCCTCTAAGATACAAGGGCCCTAGAAAATAAGCAGTCTTTCAGAAGATACCCCCGAGATGTGGCAGTGAGGGCAACAACAGGAGAAGGCCAACCTTAACAACGTCTGAAATCCCGCTCAACTCCACCAAGGCAATCTGCACACAGTGTGCCTGTCAAAAGAAAATCGAATCCTCTCTAAAAGAAAATAACTTCATCCTAAGCCTCCCTAATGTTTCATACTCAACGTTGGGCATGCAACGAAAATTACCAAGCACATGAGGAAGCTGGGACCAAAGGACCCCCACCAATGCCCGTAAAACCCCTAAAAGAAAAACAGACTACTGTAGAGGCCCAAAGATTATCCAGATATTGGAGTCCGCAAACAAAGATGTTGACATAAGTATGATAAATACTGCTTATTTAGGAGAGATGAAGCAGCCGCAAGGCACGAAAAAAGATGCCGAGCTCAGAGGAGCACTGACAATAATGCAGAAGCAGAGCTGCGGGCACCTTACAGATCCTCCGCAGGGACGACGAAGGCCAGAGTCCCTTCTACAATTATGCAAGCTCGTTATCAATCTTTTCTTTATGATTATGAAAATATTGTCCTTTGCTATCTTCTAGAAATTTCATTCTCCCTTCAACATTTAGGTCCACAATCCACAGCCCCTCCACAGAGAAACAGAAACTAAAATTCAGGAGATCTTTGACAGGGACCCAGATATACTACTAATTTTACTTCGGCAAAACCTTGAGACACCAGAATCATGCATTAAGTGCCATCCCCCCAAAAAGTAAAATATTTATGACCACCAAACCACCAGTAAAGCTACAAAAGAGCATGTGAAGCTCCTCCTGTGTGTGGCTCAGAGTAAAGGTTAAGGAAAGAAAATTTGAAACGCCTAGACTTGTAGACGTCAGGGGAGGACCCATCAGAAAAGCCAGAAATAAATGCCAGCTTGGAGGATAAATCAGAGTTAGGGAGCCACCGTTAATCACATCCTCAACCCACAGAAGTCTGCAGCAAAAACATCCCAACAGCTCATGATCTTCCTGTCTTGGACTACCCATCTCCAGAACTGCCCTTCCAGACGCGCTCTATTCAGAAGAGGGTTATGAATAACTAGAAAAGGAAGCCAAAGAACATGGGAAAAAAGGAGAAGTACAGTTAATACAACAGAGAGAGAAGACTACCAACCGAGGAAGGATCCCAGTGGTGCCTCTGGCACCACCACCACCACAGGAGGAGAGGGTCTACACTGTGAAATACGCAGAACACCGGCACTGCTGACTCACACCGAGCAGTCCAGTCCTGGCAGAGAATAAACTGCTGGAGCTGTAGTTTGTCCTGTTATAAACTAAATGGTTCCCTATGGTAACTTGTTTCCAAGTCATTATTCTCCTTTTCTCAACTTCAGGATGATTTATAAAAGTATGCAATGTGTAACAATTAATGCCATTAACAATTAACGTTAACAAATAATGTCATAAAAGATCGTTTAAAATATAAGTAATCTGGAAGCCCAGGAGCTGCCCTTGTCTTTGCAACGTGCTTCCTACTGTACATGAGCATGCACTTGGCTGTACACCTATTACTCATCTCTGAGACATGTCAGTTTCAAGTTTTTCTAGATACAACCGGTAACTGAACAGTGTGGCACTGGCAATAGAGAAACAGGTAAGTGGAACAGCACAGTCCAGAAGCAGATCCATACACATACCATCTTCTGGACTGGTGACAAAGGTGATAGCTGTAGCCCAATGGGGAAAAGGACAGTCTTTGTAGCAAATGGGTCTGGGTCAACTGGAAATACTTTGGGGAGAAAATAAACCTTGACTCCTACAAAACTGGTTACGTATGTATGGAATGTGAACCTACGTGTGAAAAGTAAAGCAGTATCGGGGCACCTGGGTGGCTCAGTCAATAAAGCGTCCGACTTCA